AGGGTTTGCCATCCCCATTGACACAGTGAAGGGCCTCGTGGACCAGGTGCGCCGCCGCAGCATGGGTTGCCTGCACCAAGCACAGCAGTAGCAGCAGCGTCAAGAGGGTTGCCAGCGCTGCGCCCAGGCAGCCTGAGGTGTGCGCGGTGCGCTTCGAACAGCTGCAAGTGGTTCAGAGGGTTGCTGTCAAGGAGGCGCATGGCTCGCCACACCGCCTGCCTGCATCAGCGCCATTGCGCCTCTCGCGTCTGCCACATGTGGATCTGCTTCACCGCAACCTGCCTTGTTGCTGGTCCTGTGGCTCACCCCTCGCGTGCCTGCCTCGTCACTGCTGCTGTGCCTGCAGATTCTGCAGTATGGGCGTGTGATGCGGCCCTCCCTGGGCGTGGTCATCGCGCCTCCCCAGGCCCTGCAGCGCATCGGGGAGAAGGGTGTGCTGGTGCTGGACGTGAGCAGCCTGCTGGGCCTGACAACGTGATGATGTAGCTGTGGATTATGCAGATCAGAGCATTGTGCCTGGCTTGTGCGGTGATGGTGCTGTCTTTACGCAGCAGGCGCAGCAGGCATGGGGAGACCCAACACTCTGCTTGTTGCACAGGGCAACTTCGGCTGCACTGCGGCGTCCCTGCTGCCTTTTTCTCCCCCCGCTCTTGCACAACTTACTTGTTCCTTGTCTCCTTTGAACACTCCTCAACCCTGCTTCTATGCATTCTCTGTTCAGGTCACGCCTGGCTCCCCTGCTGCGCGCGCTGGGCTGCGCCCGACCAGCCGCAACTCAGCGGGCGACCTCGTGCTCGGCGACATCATTCAAAGCGTCGACGGCAACCCCGTCTCGAGTGCGAGGGACCTGCTGGAGCAGCTGGATGCGAAGAGGGTGGGGGACAAGGTGGTGGTGGATGTGCTGCGGGGCGGACGGCAGCGGCTGAGCTTCAGCTTGCAGCTAGCCGACAGGGTGCTGGGCTCTGGCACTGAGTGAGGGGGTGCTCAGTTGGCTGCACGATCGCAGTATGTACTGGTGTGTACAAGCTGTTTGAGCAGATCTGCTGCACTCACTTCACGCTATCACAGTCGGGTTTCAGCGTTTGGTACACACACGCCTTCTGATGTTACTTATCCATGCTTTTAAAAACAGCAGCAGGTGCTGTTGATTTTTTATCGACAGCAGTCCAGCTACTCTTACATCCTGTATCGTCTCGGCATATTGTACCTCTCATGTTACCCACCATACACAGCTTTCTGACCAGCCATGACACACTGAGTTACAACGATTGGGTGCAAAACAGAGTCTAACACAGTGGGTAGCGTGTTGGCATAGGGAGTCAGAGGTCACTTTGTTGTCTCAGCTGCATTTGGCAGCTCTGTGCGGCCCCTTCTATATAGATGCACAGCCATGCAGGCTCCTTCAATGTTTTCATTCGGCCTGCATGGGTGACCATTGGTATACGTAGCTACCAATTCTTGTAGGTGTGGTGGGGGTCATATTGTAAACACGCCATGTGAGCATGCGTTGTGTGCAAGGCATCAGCTCAGGTTGCCACACCTGCAGCCATTGCTACCATTCCTATTTCTGCCTTGAGGTACTAGCAAGCTTGGCGGTACGCCTGCGCAGTATGGTGATGCAGCTGGTGCATATCAATGTTGTCTGGCATTTGCCACACAGGTGCACATATGGGTTGTCCATTGCTGGTGCATAGTTGTGTTATCATTGTCATGCTCACCTACAACTTGTAGCTGCTGAGCAGCTACTACCAGCACCATATATGTGTAAAAAAACGAGTTTTGAATGGCTCCTGGGCTGCAGGTATATGTGTATATACACAGCAGTCTGTGGACGCTGCTTGCTTGCTTGCCTTTTGCTGCTGCGTTAGAATGCTGCTTTCTTCACAGCAGTCTGTTGAAGTCTGTGCACCAAACCAAATAACGGTTATTTGCACATGCATTGTTGTGACATGCTGTAGTGGGCATGCTGCAGCTCATGTTCCTGCACGGTAGGCTGCACAAAAGACATGTTGTGGCATATGGTTCCTGGCAAGTTTCTGGCAAGTTCCAGCCACCTATTGCTGTGTCTTTACGCTGCCATCGTTGTGGTGCGCCGCTCTTTTTTTTATGTGCGCCGCTCTGGTGCCAGGTTGCGCCATGTGAAGCAAGCAGCACTCTAACGCAGCAGCAAAAGGCAAGCAACAAGCAGCGTCACCCCTGCATGCGAGGCTGTGCATGTAAGCAAAGCTGGCTCCACCCACTGTACTGCGTCATTGGTTGTACTGATGAACGTGAAGCAAGTTGAGGCCGATGGAGCCGCTTCCGGGGCACCAGCCCGTCCACGTCCAAGAAGCAAAGGTAGAGGCTACGCACGCATGCCCTTGAACATCCCCAAAAACCTAAAGCAAGCAGAAGTTCAGCGGACAAGTGTGAGGTGGGCTGGTGCCACCCACCCCGCACGCTTGCCGCTGGTCTTGTACTCCAGTCTAGGTTGTCACCCGCGCTGAACCCATGCATGTTAGATCCATTCCAAAAATGACCGAAAACTTGATATGTATCCGCAGCACAAATCAAATACAGAACAGAGCAACACAAGTTGCCAGCAATCTGGCGTCAGGGAGCATATTGTCATGCATATACACTGCATTGTTGCATCCCAGCACTGCTGTTGCTGCTGCTGCTGCTGCTGCACAGTGCAAAGCTGTAAACAAGCAATATTCCCCACCAGGACCATGTGCATGATGAAGAAGAGGGGTTACATCTCGTGTGCACGGTGTGTGAACACGGCTAGCCGGAACAATCAATTTTGATAATTATTTTTGGTTGCAAGGGAGGCAAATTCCTACTGGCTAGCCATACATAGCAGTCAAGCAAACCTGATTGCCGGAGGCCTACGGCACTGCCGCCACCAGCAAGAAACGCCATACGCTCCCAGCCAGGAGGTGCCAAATTGAGTTTGATAACCAATGATCAGCCTGAGGCCCAGCTTAAGCTGTTGTAGACCGCCTACGTTGCGAGGCCAGCGTAGTTCTAACATGGCAGTACAATGTGTCACATTGACTAGCCCGCGTCCTCACACACACGTGTGAGTTTTTCTTTTGCGTGACAGGGGAGACAAAATCTTACTGGCTAGCCATGCACAGCAGTCAGGCGAACCTGACGTTTGAGTCACGATAGTAATATCTGATCATCCAACACATGGATAGCAACAGCTCCTGTTACAGGGTGGTGAGTCCCTGCTCCGCATGCATGTAATAAGCAGCTGCACCGTGTATTGCTGCTTTTCTTGTCGAGTCTTGGGATGTGCGCAACAGCAGTGCATGCAAACATTCTGAAGCAATGCTCCAACCATTAGTGTCTACAAATCATTTGCTGTTACCTACTGGGGCGCGGGGCGATGGCGCTGATGCTCATCATCATCATCATCATATTACCCATTCAAGCCATAGCAACAGCGCCATCGGCCCCGCGCCCCACCGGGGCGGAAAGAGGAGGGAGCACTGCTCCAGAATGTTTGCATGCATTGCGCACATCCCAAGACTTGACAAGAAAAGCAGCAATACACGGTGACACCATCCGACATCTTCCAGAACTGCCCCAAATATCATCAGATACAAAACGCAACACCTTGATTGACGAATCAGCCATGTACAAAACGCTGCGCAACTTTTCAGCGCAACCAGGCAGGGGTCTGATCTCAGCAAACATACTATCCCTCTGAGCAGAAGTAGCAGGGCAATCAAACATGAAGTGTGACAAAGACTCAACTTCTGCACCACAACAAGGACATCCTGAAGTGGAGTTAGCTCTGCGCCCGCCAAACTGACTAGTGCGCTCATGTAAACACAGACAACCCATACGAACACGCAAAAGCAATTCAATACCACGTGGAATTGCCACTGAACGCAAGGACGGCCTATGGCGCTGATGCTATGGCTTGAATGGGTAACATGATGATGATGATGAAGCAGCTGCACACCAACCCTGCCAGAAGAGCGAAGCAGAGTCACCCGGCCTCCCTCATGCACAGCTGCATTGTCATCTGTAAGCATGTGTGTACATTGTGAGATCAAATGCTAGAATGGAGGACACTACGTGTTGCTCGGGTGTGTGCGGCATGCAGCTGAGCTGTAGCACACCGGTGCCAAGGGGGTGTGGGGGTTCAACTCCTCCGCTTTTTTGGTCCGGGTGCTGGGTACCTCCTGGATAGGGGCGTTTGGCGTGTCTTGCTGGTGGCGGCAGTGCCGTAGGCCTCCGGCAATCAGGTGCGCCTGATTGCTGTGTATGGCTAGGCAGTGAGGTTTTGCTCCCCTCCCCCCCCCCCCCCCGAGCATCTGCATCCTTGGACACCAAGGATGCACCGCAGCGGTAACGCTGCAGCTATGCGTAGTCTCTCTCTCTCTCTCTCTCTCTCTCTCTCTCTCTCTCTCTCTCTCTCTCTCTCTCCCCCCCTTGTAACCAACCAAAAGAATAAAAAATGCAGGGGTTACCTTGTCGATATACAGGGGTTGCCACAGTATTGATTGAGGAGAGTTACATGGGTGTGCACGTCGGAAACGGAACACTTCGAGGACTGCAGCGCGCAGGACACGAGAATAAACCACAAAAAGCCTCAGAGAAGCAATTTGCAGCTTCCTCACCCAAAATAACACGAACTTTGCGCAGAGAAAAAGCATCAGGACGGAACAAAAGGTGTCAACGTCAGCGAAATAGGAATGGAACATGCAGACATGGCAACAACTAGCAGGTACTGGGCACCTCGAGGCTCCTGCTTCAGGTGTTGAAAACATTGTACAACATGATGATCAACATGATCAAAACTCTCTGCTACTAGGACGCGCACAAAGCAACAGCATAACCCGCAGCGCCGTGGCACCACAGGTACCTGCCACAGTATGAGTTTAAAGTGGAAATGTAAGTGACTGTATTGTCATGGGTGTGCAGCACAGAATGCATGATGGGACCTTAATGAACAGAGAGGACCAAAGCAAATGGCAAAATGCGTCGGCACATGTAGTGCCAGCCCCTAGCCAGGTTCGAACTGGCGTTTTTGGATTCAAAGTCCAAGGTGATCACCACTACACTATAGGGGCCAAGGGTGTACCCGAAGCGGGGCTCGAACCCGCGACCACCAGATATCGTCGTATCTTAAGTAAAAGTCTGGCGCTCTACCAACTGAGCTATCCGGGCGCCGACTGGTGTGCCCGATCGCGAATGGTTGCCAAATACATCCCCCAGTTTTGGCGAACACAGTTCGAAGTCTGCTGTCAGCATTTATTTCTTATTGCTGCCTTGAGTCTGATCTGCCCTTGAGTCAGCGTCATAATCATCAGCTCAGCCCGCTTCCTGTACCGCAACGTGTATAGATTGCTGTCACTGACACTGCTTAGACTACTGCTTGCATGCACAGATACTTCTTGCATGCGCTTGTCAGGATGAAAGAGACCCTGTTTGTCTTGCGCTTGATCAAGTGTTATTTTTCATGCATTTGTTGAGTTCATGATGCACGCTGCACCAGTCTGCAGGAGTCAAGCAACTGCTTGTATCATTCAGATACAGTTGACGGCTGCAGACATGACCCAGGTGATGTGTCTTCTTACATGCACCGTGTGCATTTGCTGCATTGATATGTGCAATACATGTCTTCTTGCAACGCTTATTGTGTGATCACACATACGAGTTATTGGACGGTCGTTGCTGTGTCAATTGAATTAGGTTACACTCCGAGCCTGATCACGTATCCAAAAAAATAAACCCAAGAAGCTTTGCTCATCGTGTGCACAGGTTTGAAAGGTCATGCAAAAGTCCGGCAACCACGACTAGTCGCACGATCGTGGCCATCGTCGCGACTGCAGTACACCAGATGCATCGTGGCCATTTTGCAAAGGCTGCACTACAATGCAATGAACAATCAAATATATACAAGATAGATGCAGTTATGCGCGCAAGAACGCTGCTTCTAACAACGTTTCCGGCCTGTACACACTGCGAATTACAACAAGTTTGTAAGGTCTTACAACCTCTGCCTACAACACGAGCTACAACATGTATGGTAGACTAATAGTAAGCAGTTTGTAGGGATCATGCCTTCCCACAGTGTCAACAGCAAACAACATTTGCGTGTGACGGGAACGACGAGATGTGCTTAGCACGGCCAATGTCTTGCCCCACAAACAGAGGCTTTCCTAGGGGTTGAACCTCCTTGAGTGGCAGCCTGAGTTGAGCTGCTCGCAGCTTCCTTTCATTCCAGGTGTCCGTTGTGGCGTAGTCGCTTGAGCACACTGCGTAGCCCCGGGCTCTGTCCAGCCACATTTACAAGCATTGTCGCTGCAGCAGCTTCCAACAACATGTACCAAGGAAAATGCATAGTGTTTGTTCGAGCCAGACATAGTCACTACCACTGCTTCATATACGTTGCCAATACATAAGTGGTACATTACCACATGTTGTGCACCGGTACCGGTGCCGTGCACGTGCACAACCGTTTGTGCGGCACACACAATTGATGCACCAGTCCGCCAGCAACATCACAGCACAAGTATGGGAGAACAACCAGGAGATTGGGTTCTTCAGGTTGCTAAGATCGGGAACCAGAACCCTGCCAGCTGGCCTGAAGGACCTGAACTGCCCAGGGCAGCCTGCCCTGGGCAGGTACTGCTGTACAACGATACACAGGTCGTGCGGCAAGTCCATAATATTGAAATGGTGGCTAAATCTGAGATTTTAAATTGAGTACGGCAGGCGACGCCTGCAAATCGCATGAATGCCAGATGTACCTGGGGAGAAAGTTCAAGTACAGCCTGTAACCCTAAAGTGTCAGCAGTTGCCAGGAACATATTTTGACCACCGCCTTGAGGTTATTCTAGAAAATGGTACTTTGAAACCACCGGACGCTTGCAGCGTGCTTTCAACATGCAAATGGGTGTGCTGACTTGACCGTGCTTGCACCTGCCACAATGGATCGGAGCAGCTCTATACATAGCAACCATTTTAGTAAAAGTAAGTCACGATGACCACAGCTGATAAAGGCCTCAGCTGTCAGGATGCCACACATGGTGCTAGCCTGCTGACATCAGCAGCAGACGAAGCAGCAGACGAGTGTGCCAGGCAGGAGCGCCTACGGCAGTCACTGGGACTCACTGCACTGCGTGACAACTACCAGCAACTGCTTCATGAGTTTGAACAGTTCAGCAGCAACAGGCAACAACAGCACCAGCCGTACAGGCTGTCAGAACACAGTGTTGACAGTGACCATGTGCCTAGCAACTCATGTTCAGACAACAGCAAACCACAGAACCAGATAACTCAGGATCAAACAGCCTCAAATGACAGAAAAGCTGCACCTGCTGTGGTGGCACCTGTCAGGCAGGACAGTAGCAACAGGACTCCACTATCACGGCGCCACAGCAAGCACCACACGCCTGCGCCTTCCCCCAGGCAGCAGCAGCAGCAGCAGCAGCAGCAGCAGGGTGATGCAGCTGCATCAGCTGCACTGATTGCAGCGGCAATGCATCAGCAGCAACAGGAGGCTGCCGGTGATGTCCTACAGCAGCTTTCCGCGGCGGATTTGGAGCAGCACGGGCAGCAGCATGTATCGGCACAAGAGAGGCAGCAAAAGGCACCAAACAGCTTGGAAAGCAGCCGTTCAAAAGTGCTGCAGCAGGCAACACCAGCTCAGCCCAACAACAAGGCTGCCACCCGCAGCGGCAGTGTACGTGCCGCAAAAGTCGAGCAACCCAAAACACAAAGCAGCAGCCAGGCACAGACTGGCCCTTTAGATGGAATGCTTGCAGCTGTCAAGCAGCTGGTAGGCCACAGGCAGAGCAGCAAGCAGCTGCAGCAGCGTGTACAGCACTTGCTGGAGCAGCAACAGCATAGCGCTGCTGCTGCTACTGCGGCGGTGGGCGCGGGTGCACACCATCCTGTCACGGTACCAGCTGCTGCACCGACAGATGCTACTGTAATTGCACAGCAGCAAGGCATGCCAACTACTGCTGAGCAGGAGAGCAGCAGCATAACAGCATCAGTATTGTGCAGCATGAACAGCGCAGCAGCAGCTGCGCAGCAGCAGACTGCGCAGGACAACACCATGAGTGCATGTGCAGATGCCCCGGACGTCAAGTGGGCACCTGCAGGGCCTCCAGCCGCCAGTGGGGTTGCTGCACAGCAGCTGCCCAGCGCGCAGGCACATCTGCAGCAGCAGCTAGCGCAGGCCATCCCATTGCAGTTCACAGCACAGCCCAGCAAGCGAGGGTCCAGGTGCAGCAGTGGCAGCCATAGGAGGCCTGACAGCAGCTCACCAAAGAAGCGCAGTCCAGCATGCGCACGCAAGGCTACACGTGGTCAGGGTAGTGCTGCTACCCACACTGGTGCTGATGGGAGCCAGCCCACCTGCAAAAGGCAGCCGCAGTGTCCAAAGCAGCTACAAACCAGTCGACAGCTGCAGAAGCAGCAGCAGCGGGCTAGAAGGCAGAGGGTCAGTACAGCAGCAACACGTGACATGCAGCAGAGCAATGCAGCAGCAGCTGCTGCTGCTTTGCAGCAAGGGCGGCAGCGCGTGCCACTGCTGCCGCTGCACCAGCTGCATGCAGCAGAGTACGCAGCGGCAGCACCGGGCCACGCAAGCACAGCCAGGCCAGCCAGCAGCAGAGTTGGTGCCAAATCGGAGCCGACCACAGCACACTCAAACCACAGCGCAAGGGCCAGCAGCAGGCGACACAGCTGCCCAGATGCAGGTGGTGCGCCAGGCAGCGCAGTGCAAGCCCCGCATGTGGCTGGTGCAGCAGCAGCAGCAGCATGCTGCACACAGCAAGAGGCTGGAGCAGGGGCCAAGGTGGCTGCACACCGCAGACTGTCGCTGATGTGTCAAGTAGGGACGCTGCAGTCACTGCAGCAGGCAGGTCCTGACAGCGGCGTAGCAGCAGAAGCAGCAGAAGCAGGCAGTGGTGCATGCACCAGAAGGTTTGATGCCAACCCTGGCAAGCAGGCTGTACATGCAGGCACTGCATGGGACTCACAACTGCAGCAGCAAGCCGCAGAAGCAGGTGGCCTCAGCTCCTGCAGTGACCCATTGCAGCACATCAAGCAGCTGCAGCTGCTGCGCAGGCGTTCAGGTGGCCTACCAGCATTGCCAGGTGACGGCACAACTGCCAGCTGTGTGCTCCTCAACAGCTCAGCACATGTGTCTGCAAAGGTAGCAGGATCGACAGCAGATTGTATTGCAGGCCGTGTCAGCGGCAGCCTTGCAGGAAGTCAGGTGGCTGGTGTAGTGCTGCCGGCCATACCGTGTGCAGCAGTATCTCCTGCTGGCTCTGCGGCGCGTGTTGCTGGTCAGCACAGGCGCACCAGCTCCCTGGGGTCAAAAGCATCTGGCAGCAGCAGCATGAGCGCAACACCCAGAGGAGTGCCAGCAGCAGCAGCAGCAGCAGCAGCAGCTGGCAGCAGGCGCACAAGTAGCTCCCAGCTGCCACCCCTGGAAGAAGGTGTGGCAGTGCTGACGGGGCGGGTGCTGCCGCCCATTGCTGCAGCAGCATCAGCAGGCAGCAGCCGGCGAGGCAGCAGGGCAGACAACAGCAGCACCACAGCAGCAGCACCAGCAGGTTGCCACGCCGCTGAGCTGGGCAGCAGCAGCAAGGGCCAGCCGAGGTCTAGGCAACAGCAGCTGGAGGCAGAGGTACCTGTTGCACAGGAGGATAGCCTTAGCAGCGTCCTGAGCGTCAGCAGCGCTAGTTGCAGTGACGGCAGTGGCCTGGATGCTGGGTTGAGGTGCGAGCCTTCCAGCTATGGCATGTGCGGTGAGAACCCGACAGCTGCTGTGCAGCTGCAACGGCCTGCCTTGGTTGGCAAGCTGCAGCGGCTGAGGCACAGGCTTTCCAGCAGGCAGATCACGCTCCAGGATGAGCAGTTTCAGCAGCAGCCGCCACAGCAGCAGCAGCAGCAGCAGCATCTTCCAGTGGATGTACCGCCACTGCAGAGGGATGGGTGCCATGACCCTGCAGCACACTCTGCAGTGCCAGGCTGTGGGAGCACGACCGGCCATGACCAGGGCCCGGCAGGCTCCCCGGCTGGCCCCATGGCACACATCGCCCGGAGCCAGAGCAGCAGTTCAATTATGCAGCCACAGACACCAGCAGCACCGCATGTGGATGCCACCCAATGCGGGCTCCAGAACAGGCACCACAGTGGAGGCG